TTTTTTTTTGTATCCGTTAGCAAGATGTGTCGTAAGGTATTAGAAAAGCCTCAGAGAGTTCATAAGGGTGTTATGCTTGTGCACAACTGAGAATGTAATTATGCCTGTTTGGTATGATTTGGTAGGTTCTTTTTGGGTCTGGGAATGCTCAAAAAGTTTTCCATATAAATTAATGGTAATTGCTTCTTTACTTTATGCCACTTTGGCTTGAGAAAGGTTTTATAGGAATGCTCTACTCTCAGAAAGCAGGGGAAAACTGTACGTGATTGTTGAAGCCAAAGCAACTTTAAGCTCACCAGGTCATTTTTTCAGTAAATGTGTGTGCCTCAGTTTAGTGTCAATAATGCATACCTGCTATGATAATTGTCCTTTAGAACTGAATCTCCTAATATTTATTGAACATCTACTATATCTGAGGTACTTTAAGAAGACCACATATCTTAAATTCACTGATTTGGCGTCCTGAATAATCTAGCTTTCATTGCTTAAAGCCCGTAAGGAAATACCAACTTGTGAGCTATAAACCTAATGTATTGCTATTTCATAATTAATTTATAAGAGCTTTAATGAGTGGTTTAAAATTTAAAACCTGGATTTCAATTTGAAATAGTGCCTTTTTCTTTCTTTCTATTTTTTTTAAAGATAAAAATCTCAATTGCAAATTTAGCTTCTTTTTCAGTTATAGAATACCCTGCTTTAAGAAAAAGTATGGGGATTAAAAAGTCAGATTTATAAAATTGATGAGGTGTGTGTACATGGTTGTTTACTTTGAAAAAATTATTACCAGAATGCCTCAAACCCTGCGCTCCTCAAAGTAAGTAATTCCACAGCTGATAAAGCAGCTGGCCCCTACTTGCTTTCGCCTTCATCAGCTGATCACTTCACAGATCCTTGTAAACTGTTTGGGACCCTGCTGCTCAGCATATTTGCTTATTCTAGTGAAGGCAGTGACTTCATTTAAGGGAATGCCACCTCTGGAGCAGCCTTTAAAATCTTCTGAAATATAATGCTAATAAAAGTTAGGTAGTGCTATTACTGAGAAAGGAGACTGTTTTACTGACACCTGTAGACAGGACCATGGGCTTGCTGTTCATAGGCTCAGGGGGAAAGGAGGCACTGCGGGTATTGCCAATCTAGGAGGAGCTACATACAGCATTGGAGCCTGAGGCTCTGCTCTGCTCTGAGGC